ATCTATACTGCATAAATGAAGATGTGTCTATTACAGAGACTGTAAATATGTCTGATAGTAGTGCTAGAGACATTTCAGTGACAAAACAGGGTGAACTGATATATAGTGATTTGAGCAGAGGACGTATTTATGTTGTTAAAAATAGAAGGTCAGAACTACTGATCTCGCCATCAAGATGCTGGATTCCTGGTGGGCTGTGCTGTACAAGGTCAGGGGACATTCTGGTCTGTCTGGTGTTTGTAAAGTACATGTACATGGATAGATATTTATGGCAAAATAAAATTGTTCGCTATGAAGGTCAAACTGTGAAACAAGAAATTCATAAAGATGAACACGGAAACCATTAAATCCTTAAAAATGGATTAAATATTCTGTTTGTAGATGAAAACATTAATGGAGACATTTGCGTCTCTGATGTCAATGCTGATTTGGTGGTTGTGGTAGGCAAAACAGGAAAAGTTCTATTCAGATACAATGGTGAATCAGCAGGGATGGCAAATCCATTTCAACCTCAACAAATAGTGACAGACTCTGTGGGTCAGATTATTGTGGCAGATATAAACAATGCCTGTCTGCACATACTTCATCACAATGGACAGTTCTTGAGATGTATTGACAATTGTGGGTTAGAGAAACCTTGTGGACTGAGTGTGGACAGTGAGGGGAGGCTATGGGTAGGATGTTCTCAGTCAGGAAATGTGAAAGTGATCCAGTACATGAAATAAATGAAGAATGTACTCCAAAGACAATGGAGAGTGACAGAATCCAACCATTAATGGTCTTCACAAAAATACAGCTGACCCTTACTATACTGAAGGTGATAAAGAAAAATATGAGATAGCATATTATTCAAGACACTGAGGTTAACATACATTAAGAGAAAGTAGTTGGGACTTCCAATTCAATTTGACATATCCATGGTATTATAATATTGATGATTTGAAATATAACATTTCAACTGTTTGGTTTTTTTTTTTTGGCTGCTGCATTGAATTCACATATACAAGACACTATGGTTATTCTTTGCTGTTCATCCACATTTTTAAGTTTCACAACAATTTAAGTACCTTTGAACCTTTCCACTTTGTGCATGTATTAGTACAAACATTGTACATGGAAGATGCTTTTTAGGAATACACCAATAGTTTAGAATAACACTTGGTCAACCTACAAACTTTCTATTAAAAACACAAACTGTAGTTGACAAATAGTTTAGAAGACACATGTAAATTTTAAATTAGATTGGTCAAGAATCAGGATTATTTCTATGACCTTTACTTGTAACTTGGATGTTAAAATAGTTAAAATAGTTTGCTCAATATTGACAATAATCACTGTAGTAATTTGGACCTTTGAAAAATATAATTTTATTAATTTTATTGAAAATACTCTCTGGATTTGTGCATGCATCCATATCTGCATAACATTTCACATATCCACTCAAGATTATTCTAAAAAATATTTAAATTGACCTTTAAAATACAGATAATGCATCAAAAATATAAATGGAACAAGATAAAACAAAGATAAATTTATTAAATAACAAGAGCATACATGTATATAATCAAAAGTGTCTTAAAAGTATTTGATAACAGTATATGGTTGTATACACATGTTCAAAGAGGAATTACTCTTGTTCTGTCAATCAAAATCTTTGTTTGACCTACTTCATAGTAATCAGACTCATAACTAACAGTGTAACACTAACCAGGAAGAATTATTAAACCCAAAGTAACTGCCGTTGTGGTGAATTTACAAATTGGAAACAGCTACATGTATTCAATATCCATGAAAGGTATGAAATCATGTGTCTAAAAGAAGTGCAGTCTTGTTTCTTTTTCTTTTCTTTTTTTTTTCTGAACTATTAATCTTTTTATCATGGATTGATATTGGGCAATAGAAATATAACTGATTTTTAATTATTTTTAGTTTGGAATTCCTACAGAGAAAAATACAAATGGCCACTTCCTGGGCACAAGAGGTCATCACCTGTGACCTTTGTATCAGACCTACCCAGCAATTCTGTAACACCTGTCAAGTAAACCTTTGTGTGGACTGTATCGGTAAACATGTGGACCAGCTCAGTTACCAGTCACATGACATCGTTCCTTTCAAGAACAGGAAAATACAGCTGGTGTTTCCAGAATGTGAACTTCACCTAAACCAGAGATGTGAAGTCCATTGCCAGAAGTGTGATGTTCCTGTATGTCTGAAATGCATGCTTGGCACCCATAATGGTCACATTATTAAGGATATTCCAGAAAATTTCAATGATAAGAAAAAGGAAATAGAAAAAGAAACCCAGGAAATTGAATCCACTATCATTCCAAGGTATCAGAAAGAAAATCTAGAAACAGAAAGTAAATTGTCTAATTTAAAGGCTGAATATGATGAGCTTGAGAAAGAGGCAGAAAAACAGAGAAAATTCTGGCAGCAAGAGGTGGATACCATCTTCAACAAATTTAGTGAGCTAATCAAGTCCAAGAAAGATAATAACCTGGCTGCTCTTGATTCTCATCAGTCAAAACTTAAAAATCTTCTTCCAAAAATGATTCAAACAGTTGAACAAAACAAAGAAATTCTAAAAACTAACAGGATATCTAAAGTGGCTAACTACAAATCCAGTCTAAAGAAATTCAAAGACATGCCTGTTCAACCTACACATACTGATATTAATGTTCCTTCACTAAAAACAAACAAAACACCAGAGAGAGAACTCAGCATAGAAATAGAAGGATACCAGGCTACACTAACACACACATCACTATCCAGTCTGACTGCTGATTCATCCTCATTATCTGTCAGAGGGATAATGGACAAAGCCACAGTGGTGGCCACCATTTCTTCTGGTAAAGAATCTGTAGAGAAAGTGGCATGTGTGGGTAAAGATGAAGCTTGGCTAGCTGACAATAAAGAGTCTTTATACTGCATAAATAAAGACGGGTCTGTAAAGGAATCTGTCCATATATTTGATTCTTTGGGTTTGGGTTTTACTGCTAGAGACATTTCAGTGACAAATCAGGGAGAACTGATATATAGTGATCTTAACTTTAACAGTGGATGTATTTATATTGTTAAAAATGGAAGGTCAGAGGTATTTATCTCCATATCAGGGATTCCAGGTGGACTCTGCTGTACAAGATCAGGTGACATTCTGGTCTGTCTCAGTCTAATGTCTGTAGTCAAGGAGTTTAAACTAAAAATACATTATGAAAATAAAATTGTTTGTTATCAAGGAAAGACAGTCAAACAAGAAATTGAAAAAGATGAACATGGAAAACAAATATTTAAAAATGGTTCTAAAACTCTATTTGTGGATGAAAACATTAATGGAGACATTTGTGTCTCTGATGTTAATGCTAATATGGTGGTTGTGGTAGGCAAAACAGGAAAAGTTCGATTCAGATACGATGGTACATTGGCAGGGATGGCAAATCCATTTCAACCTAAACAAATAGGGACAGATTCTGTGGGTCAGGTCATAGTTGCAGATAATGACAATGCCTGTTTGCACATACTCCATCAAAATGGACAGTTTTTGAGATGTGTGGACAATTGTGGATTAGAGAAACCTTACGGACTGAGTGTGGACAGTGAGGGAAGGTTATGGGTAGGACTTTCTCAGTCAGGAAAAGTGAAAGTAATCAAGTACATGAAATAAATGAAGAATGTACTCCAAAGACAATGGATAGTGACAGAATTCAACTAGTATGGTAAAAAGTCAAACCTCAATATCCTGTACTTGATGGGGATAACAAGAAATAGGAGATACCATAGGATTCAGGATACTGAGATTAAATACATAAAGAAAATGCAGTTTGAGCTTCCTATTCAATTTGACTTTTCCATTTTAACATTGGTATTCAAGATATCAATATTTGAGAAATAAAATCTCAACTGTGCATCTTTATTTTTGGCTGCTGCATTGCATTTACAAGGCTCTTTGCTTATTCTTTGATGTCTGTCAACATTTTTGTATTTGACAACCACTTAAGTACTTTTCAACCTATATGCCTTATATTAGGTACAAACATTGTAAGTGGAGTATGGTTTGAGGAATACACAAATAGTTAAGAACACTTAACCTACAAACTTCATATTAAAACCATATATTAGGTGAACTAAATGAATAGTTAATAGGGAAAGATACATGTTAATTTTAAATTAACTTGGTCAATGAATCAAGATTATTTTTATGACATTTACCTGAAACTTGGATACCCCGTTATTTAAATAATTTGCTCGATAATCAGTCTGGATTTGTGTTTCCAAATTAAAACTGTGAAAGTTACAATCAATGAAATTATGTCTTTTTTCAGGCGTTTACTAGTTTTTATATAATATATATGAATAAAGTATATTTATTTTTTACATATATGTTTACAATTATGATTATTGTTATTAACTTTGAAAATAAGATTTTTCCTATTATTAAGACCAAGTTTGAGATTTCAAAATTACTTTCAAAAAAATTACTTTTATTACATCAGTCAAGGTCAATACAAAAGTTGTACTGCATAAATCTTGTATATATCCTGCACAAATTCTGCAGAAATGTAGTCTAAGTGATATTACTCCAATCCTTTTCTGAATGGATAATATTGTATTTGTTCATAATTTAGCATAATCAAGATTTAGCGCAAATTATAGATATTGAGTTGTTGGCATAATCATGAATTAGCGCTACACATGTTTGTTCTGTATATTCTATTTATAAATTAGTTCTTAGCCGTATTCATGAATTAGAGCATCCTCGTCTGCACCAAAGCCGCTAAAATATGAAGCCCGCTATTTTAAGTACACATACAGTATTGCCTACATCAAATTCATCAAGGACAGTTGTAGCACAAAAAACAAATTTCAGAAATAAACAAAAGAAATAGACAAAAAGGTAGATTTACTGTGGTTTTATAGAAAGCTGGCAGAAGACTTACCATCCTTTAATAGCTAGTTCTGCTTCCCAATATAGTCATTAAAAGAGCAAAAATGCTAATGCTTACCAGTTGCTTGATGGCAGAGTACAGCAGTTCCCTCCCTTTGGGAGTTTCCAGATCACACACCACCCACACAGTGACAGGAAATAAACTCTCCTCATCTGTAAAAGTTGAAAAAATGATGTCAGCATTGGCATAATACTGTATACATGGAAAATTTCACCCCGTTTTATTTTTCTCCCCCTTTTGCCCTAATCACATATGGGCTAGTTCAAAATGGGGCGATTTCAAAGCACAAAGCATAATTTCTTAAGCAGAACTATGACAGGGTGAAATTAAAACAGGGCAGAATTGTTGGCAAGGGTAAAAATAACCCTGTATACAGTATCAGTTTTTCAGGGACAGGGCATTATTTGTGCATATACTCAGTATATGTACTACACTGGAGGTGGAAAAGAACCCTGCTATTTTTGGGTACTAAAATTTCAGACTTAACTAGAAACTCTTGTTGCTACAGCAACAAAAAACGGTCTTCCGTTCTCCTTTATTTATATGCATGAATGAGCTTTCGCCGAGTTGTCGTTTTTGTATCCGGTTGAACTGATATATATTTTGAAACAATAAAGAAGATGCTAAAATATGATGCAAAAAAATGTTTTATAAAGGAAAACTTGAAATTTTATTAATTTGATCACTTTCTGTGACGACCAGAAGTGACGGCGGACAATCTTATCCCCAATGGTTTTGCACACTTATCAAGATCTACCATTCCTAAAAGTTTAGTGTCTTAATCTCTTACCGTTTAAGAGATCTAACTATGATAACTTCTCATTTTGAGGACAGGAAATTACACGACCGGAAGTGAATTTTAAAACAATATTTGAAATTTGTGTAGACATATGCAGTCTGAATAACATATCCAAACATAGGTAATCAGAGATTACAGAGCTCACCTCAACCAATGTTGTCCTTAAGTAAGGCAAATTAAGTCACACAATTAACCAACAAAAAGAGTACATCCAAAAATGCAAAATTTATGCAATTTTGATACTTTGGAATAGACCTATATAAAAACTTAAAACTAGTTCTTCATCATGAAAATGTAATTAAAATCCAGCATCTGAAGCAAGATTGAGAGTTTTCATCCCTTGATGCATCATTTGTGCAACTTTGGTTTATATAAGCCTTATAGTTTCTTGGTGATAGACCTGCACCCATAACTTTTACAAGGTCTATTATCTGGAAAATGTATGTCAAGTTCAGCATCTGAAGCAAGTCCATTAGTGTGCATCCTAAGATGTATCATCCATGCAAGTTTGTTCAACATAGAGCACAAAGTTACTTGGAAATGAAACCTGTATAAAAAACTAACCTTTTCAGTAATCCGGAAAATGTAGGTCAGATTCAGCGTCTGAAGCCAGCCTAGTAGAATGCACCCTTAGATGTACCATCCATGCATGTTTAGTCATTATAGGGTTCATAGTACCTTGGAAATGAAACCTGCACCAAAAACTTTAACCTGTTCACTCAACCGGAAAATGTAGGTCAGATTCAGCATCCGAAGCAAGTCTTGTAATATGCATCCTAAGATGTATCATCCATGCAAGTTTGGTCATTATATGTCTCATAGTAACTTGGAAATGAAACCTGCACCAAAAACTTTAACCTGTTCACTCAACCGGAAAATGTAGGTCAGATTCAGCATCCGAAGCAAGACTGGTAGTATGCATCCTAATATGTACCATCCATGCAAGTTTGGTCATTATATGTCTCATAAAAACTTGGAAATGAAACCTGCACCAAAAACTTTAACCTGTTCACTCAACCGGAAAATGTAGGTCAGATTCAGCATCCAAAGCAAGTCTAGTAGAATGCATCCTAAGATGTACCATCCATGCAAGTTTGGTCGTTATAGGGCTCATAGTATCTTCAAAATGAAACCTGCACCAAAAACTTTAACCTGTTCACTCAACCGGAAAATGTAGGTCAGATTCAGCATCAAAAACAAGTCTGGTAGTATGCATCCCAAGATGTACCATCCATGCAAGTTTGGTCAACATAGGGCTTATAGTTACTCGGAAATGAGACCTACACCAAAAACTGCACCAAAAATGTTAACCTGGACCAAAAACATTAACCTGGTCATTCCTTTGCTGAAATTGCAGCATCTGAAACTTTGACTGGTACAATGAAACACACTAGAAACATCTTCCATGCATGTCTAATCAATATAGGACAAAGTACTTAAAAAGAAAACTGCTCTAAAAAACTTAACCTTAACCCGGGACGCCGACGCCGAGTGTATCACATAAGCTCCCCCCAACTTCGTTGAGGTGAGCTAAAAATCATAACAAATACTTTATTTATAAAAAGTATAAATGGGAGAGAAAAATACTCAAATTATGTAGTTTTTCTCTTATAACCGGAAGTTGTCGTTTTTGTTTCCGTTGGGACTGATATATTTCGAAACTACAAATAAGATGCTATAGAGTGATGCAAAAAAAATTTCATAAAGGAAAAGTTAAAATTTTCGATTTGTTTGATCACTTCCTGTGACGACCAGAAGTGACGGCGGACAATCTTAACCCAAATGGATTTGCCTACTTATCAAGGTCTATCATCCCAGTAAGTTTGGTGCCTTAATCTCTTACCGTTTCTGAGATCTCACTCGGATTAAATATTTTTGAAAGAAGCGGAAATCGGACATATCTGACGACCGGAAGTGAATTTTGAAAAAAATGAAAAAACCGTCTTGGGGTATTTTTATTCTCTATCATCCCTGAAAATTTCAGGAAAATCCGTCCAGCCATCTCTGAGAAATCCTGCCGACAAGATTTGGGGAAAAAAATAATAAGAAGAATAATAATAATAAGAAAAAACAGTAGAATCACTATAAGGTCTTCCGTCTGAAACGGAAGACCTTAATAAATTCTGTAGCCTCATACATTTTGACTTTAAGACATCTCACCTTTCCTGGTGAGATATTTCATATCTCGAGCCATGACGGCCGTGATCTCTCCTGAGCTCTTTTGATAGAGACTGTCCAGACTTAGTGTATCATCTAAAAAATAAATACAATCCCTACATGTACAGTAAAATGTTGTTATGTAAAGAGGTAATCATTATTTAAGAAATTATTAGAAATAAAATATCAATTTTAGAGTTTCATTGGGATATGACATGAAGTCGGTCACGTGATCAAATTCTATAACGCCCGAAGGGTGGTATTGCACATTAAAAACACTCAGTGAGGATAGTATTAAATTCATTTGCATTTTAAAATCATTTTATTTCTATTTAATTTACTGTCTTGCAATTGACTTAATAATTAAAATGAAGAATTTATATTTTAAAAATTTGGGAAATTCATTAGAACAGGCCCCAGGATAATGAAACAGACTTAGAATTATGTCAAATTCTCAATTGCTTATAAAATATTTATTAATTTTGGAAATGATCTCAAAATTTGCAAATAAATTTTTTTTATGAATCAATACTGAAACATATTTGAATTTTGATCTGTTTGCCTTCCATAAAATTAAAGTACAACATGAAACTTTTGACTTAAGCTTAAGATGGTTCATGATCCCAGGGCCAAAACTCCTCTGAAATCTATTTGCATCATCATGGAACCAAGATTACTTGTATTTCCATCAGTTTTATTCTGGCTAAGATAAATAAATAGTGTGTTTCCTATTCCAACCAGAAAAAAATTAAGGTAGGTAGCTATAGGTAGGGAAAACATTTCATTTTAATATTTTATTAGCAAACCTGCTGTCATTTTTTTACTATGGAAATCTTTGTCAAAACACTTTGCTTCATGTGCATAGGATATGCCTTTTCTCATACACAGATGGATTTCTAATAGCAAAACTGTAATTGTTTACTATCAGAAAGATATAGGTGGATAATTTTTTTAGGTTCAGCTCATGTATTTTAGGGTTGGTCGGGGAACCAGAAACACACAATTTATTTGAAAACTGATTGTTATAGAAAAACATAACTTCACAAAGATATATAAATATGCCCACTGACCAACTGTAGTGGTGAAATCCAGGGATTTTTTGGGAGGGGAGAGAACCCTCGAGTTCAACCTTGGTAGAACATGTTCTTTTTCCATCAGGTACTCAAGTATGTTCATATAGTCATGGAGATTTCCCTGATTTTTGAAAACAAAACAGTTTTAACTGTATTTCAATCAAGTTTCTCACTCAAAGTATATCAAAGTTTCAAATTACAGAGCAAATTTTCATAAACCACTAAAGACTCTAAACGTAAATATCATGAATTCTATAAACTCATTTTCAGTTAACTTTTTAAATTTATTTAAACAATTATATCTAAATGTACACACTATTCAAAATACACAAAAGAAGCTTTCATTTAAAACCTTGTTTTTTATTAAATTTAAAATGAAAAGTTATTCATTCAACTCAGTTTTTGCAAGGAATACAAGTACACTGCATAAGAATTAAAATTTTATCTACCCCCTTTACTTACCTGGTAGACAGCTTCCTGGATGTCTGGGGTCTGCCACCCCCCCCCCCCTTTACTTACTTGGTAGACAGCTTTCTGGATGTCCGGGGTCTGTGTCATTATCTGAGAGACCACACCCTCCTCAAAAGTATCTTCTGTCAGGAAGGACTTCTTTAATGGATTCCCATTCAGCAGGACCTGTGGGAAATTCCCTAGTCCAGACTTCTCCACATAATCTTTTGCTGCCTGATGAAAAAAGACTAACATTTCATATCCTGTTTTCCCAATAAGTCAAAAAACTTCAGTTATTTTAAAAGAAATACTTGTAAATTTTAATCTCAGTAAAGCTTGCAACAAGAATTTTAAATCTCAATCTTAAACCAAATTTGAAAATGTGATATGGGGCTTTACATGGATATTTTAAAAACAATTTCATCTTGTAAAATAATGCATCTTAATTCTTTTAAATTCTATTAAAAAATTAAGCTAAGTAGATTTTTGCTTTATTCATAATATTCTTGATTTAATTTCCATCTTACTCTTCTGAGAATGTCGTATTCATCACTATCTTTGTCAAACACTTCCTTCATATCTGCATCAGCATACTTCTTTTTGAATTCTTTTATAACCAGCTTGGCTGTAATTTCTTCTCCCTTGGCCTTTTCGTAAATCTGAATATAAATATAAACTCTAGTACAAACATACATGTTTAATACAAAATAATTGTATTCTATTCAAATAAAATGTCATGTTTTTCAATTTTCTAGTTCTGTTCCTACAGTTTTGATGTCCATTTTCTCCAAGAATCAAAATAAATTATTGTTTTTTTGGAAGAGTGGGTATATTTCTACTTACATCTGTGACAAATGAAAGAGCTTTGGGGAAATCATGTTCCTGTCTTATGTAGTCAAACGCTCTAGAGATCGCAATGCTAGCATCTTCATGAGGATCTGCTTCCAGGTCAAAGTTCACAACAAACACAACGCTCAGTCTGATTGGAGCACTGTGTACCAGGAAAGCCTCAGCCATTTTGATAAGTTCTATGTCAGTTTGTCTTGTAGGATCCACAAAAAATACCTAAAAATCAATTCAAAGGTAAATCATTCAAACATTAATGATTTTGGGGCTGCATTAAAGACCATAGCAGCCTGTCAGCTAGGTTATATATCTTGGTATTATTAAATGTTACGAATGAATTACTGTAACCATTAATCATGTCCAAGAAATTTTAGTGAGGTTTGCAACAGCCTCATCATTGCAAATATTTCTCAATGCAAACCAATCCTTTAAGTCTCTATTTCTATTAAAGGTACTTGGACACAGGTTTGAAGTTAATATTTTCTGTATAATATCACGAATTATATATTTTAATAGTATTTCACACAAATTTTGATTAAAAATCTTATTTCATTTAAAAGTTATAAAAAACTTCAAATTTTTCGGCGGGTTTGATTGACATATCCTTGCACTTTCACAAAGAACTTTATTCAGTAATAACCATTATTTGCCCCACAAATCAAACTTTGATGGAGATACATTTAATTAAGTTCTTAAACAGGGGAGTATATGCTGACTTCAAAGCACTGAATATTTTTATAAGTAATGACGCCGTATTTACGTAATGACGTCACAAATATGACATAAATTTAAGTTTTTTATGAATTTTACAGAAAAATGTACATTTTTCCTTGATATTTTGAGTTAAAGTCACCGAGCGCATGTGTGTTCAGGATCAATATTTTGATATACTGTGTAGAATGATAATATCAATGAAATATGTCAATATTGTTCCTGAACAAACTTGCGCTCTATAAATTTTAAAGCCAAAATTGTGGAAATTTTGTCCATTTTGTCCTCTTTCTGAAAGAGGATATAAAATCGGACTAGTTTGTGACGTCATAAAAACAAAAATTGTGAATACACTGCTTTGACACTATAATATTTTCTGTTAATATATATTTCTCATACAATTTATTGAATTCAGCACATTTCAGGAAGTTTTCAAAATTTGACTTTAATGGGGGCAAATATATGTAATATACCGCATATAGTTCTTTTAACTTTTTTCTTAATCCTTAGGAAAAGTGGCAATCTTGTTATATGCTATTAAAATATATAAGTCGTAATATTATAGAGAAATAATTAACTTCAAATCTGTGTCCAAGTACCTTTAACATCAGATCCAAAATAAGCGTGATCACAAAAATAAATCATAGCAAACTCGTTTACCCGCAGTAAATCGTGAAATAAAGTTGTCGCAAATAAAAGTTGGTTTACAGTATTGTGCACAGTTTGCGATAATATAAATAAAACATTATCCTGATTATTATTAGGAAACAATCTTCTGATAATTACCAGGTGGAAGAAGTTTTTGGCTACGTGTCGCAGCATTCCCGGGAAGGTCGGCCTCAGAATATCCTGGACACTGCTCGGCCAGTTTTTGTACTTCTTGTCATTTTCAAGGTCATTCAAAAACTGTCAAGGTCAAATATTTTCAAAATCACATGCATGTACAACAATTCAAATGTACCAATTATTTTCAGACATTTTAAAAATACAGCCAATATTTTTAACATTTAATAGTCTGCTTTAATTCTGAAATTATATTTGGAAACAATAGGTAATTATTAAGAACCACAATTCTTATATCATTGTTAAAATGTTTAAGACAAAAGGTTTTAATGGTGTACCTGTATAGCTGTGTGTCTAATATCCAAAGCAAACTCCTTTGAATCTCCTCCTAGGTCCAAACGCATGAACTTTTCTAATTCATCACCCTATAATTTAATCACAATTTTTTTATTTCTGAATACAACCCTTGATAAAAAGTTCCTAGACAAAAAGATAAATTCTTACATTTTGAATCTATTTTTGTCACTGCTGTTTAAATATTTGGTGACAAAATAAATTTAAAAAGTACAGGAAGATAAAATTACAATACAAACCATCCCCCTGAGGATAAAATATAGCTAACAACTCGCCTTGAATCCCATTGAGAAGAGCCCCTCCATAATTCTGGCCTCTGATTTCATTAGATCCAGGAGTGTGTATATATCATAGACCTCCATCTCAACAGGAATGCCATTCAAAAACATGGCCGACTCTCCAGTACCAATATTCAGATCATCAAAATTCTAAAAATGTCACTCAAAAAGTTTAGCAGTTTCATGTATTTACATCTAGTAAGTTAGATTCAGGAACAAATATGCATAAATTCAATCTATTACATTTTTCTTTTCAGGACGTTTAAACTTTACAACATTTAATAAAGACTTTTTGTGTCCTCAACAGACTTCATAGATTGACCATCAATAAACCAAAAAAATTCCAAGTTTTTCTGTTCTTGTTTGAAATTCTCAAAAACTATACACGTATTAGCAAACCTACCTTTCGGTTCTGAGATATTTCATTTTTGACCTCACTCTTCACAGCAACTTTTGACAAAGACCTACAATTTTGATATAAAATGAAAGAAAGATTGACATATCCATTTGACCAGAATTGTTCCTAGGTTAAATGTCAAGGACATGAGGTCAAAATTGATAGTACATGTACTTCTTGAAAATTATTGTCACAAATGAAGTACAAGGAAAATAAGAAAGCTGTTTCTTCTCTCATTAAAAAAATTAACAATGTTAAAAAAATTGGAAAGTACGAGGGTTGTTAGAAAAGTTCGCGGACACATTGAATTACAGAAAATCTATTGTTTACTGTGACGTATGACCTATGACTGAATGAATTCCTACATTTTGTTTATTGGTATGTAAAAAATCAGGTCAATATAATAAAATCTTAAAATTTTACAACTATTTTTACTATGGGGTTATGGGATTCACGGAGCAATCACTTGACGTAAGGCGACGTGACAACCAGATTTCAACCCTTTAAGCTTTGTCTCAGTTCTATGAATCTTTAATTTCTTTATATTTTTCTCATATTTTTTCTACTTTAAAATTAAATACCTATATCAAGACATGTTACTTTTCAACTATAATGTCTTTTTATCTGTTTCGGATATTATTGAGATCTTAAAAAATAAAAAGGCTGTGGATTCAATCGATCAGGTATGGAAACTATGCAAAACATAGGCAAAAGCAACGTCCATGCGATAGAGGGGTATTGAAGTATCGATGTAGTTAATCATTTAAAATGTTTCTCCTTCCATTCTTATGAAGCTACAACCACTTGAAAACTTGTTCTTTGTATGTGTAGGATATTCCCAGCAGCATCTTAAACATTTTAGTCTCTTTTTAGACATTTTCCTGTCTGCACACATAATTTTTACGTAGTGCACTGCTCCATGACGCTCAATGACGTTCCGATTTTTGGCTGTGTTCTTACGCGTTGATCATTTATAAACAGCTATAAAACAGCCATATACCCTCCAATTTAGTTCAAAATTTTTCCCAGTGACGTTTCCTGCATACTTTAGCGGCAGGTAAAATATCATAAATCTCTTGGCACTACAATTGTGCAAGTTTTAATTTTAATAAAGAGTCTTTGTGATGTAAACGTGCCACAATGCAGCATGCTCCGTGAAGCAAGATTTATCAAAATAAAAATGCCGTATATTTTTCAATAATCACCGGAGAGCACCAAATTCTTGTATACTTATTGGAAAATATGTCAAGATTATATCTGGAAAGTTTGACCGGTTTCATGGAAATAGCGCGATCACAATAGAACTTGTCCGCGAACTTTTCTAACACCCCTCGTACATGTTCATGTAGATTAAACTTCAAAGTCAAGGCCAGGAGGTCAAACAACATACTACATTTGGAAAGTTCTTGCTACAGATAACAAATGTAAAATATGAATTCAAAGCTCAATTTTTTCTCATTTAAAAGATATGATCAAGGTTAAATTTTTTTGAGACAGACACACAAAAGGACAGACAGAAGAATGACATTTAATTTCCCTGCTACATAGCAGTAAAATGAATACAGACAATTGGCAAACAAGTATCCATAAAAGGACACTTGCAAATATATTTCATGACTACTAAGTAGTGGTCAAAGTATTAAAATAAGCATGAGCCCTACCTAGTTTTGGAGGGGAAGTTCTGGCTGAGGTCCTGTAACACTTTAATCTGGTCGTCTCTGTCTGCACTCAGGACTTTCTGGGCAGTCTGGTAACTCAGATCTGTCAAATCAAATTGTAAAAGATGCAATGTTTTCGTGTGTTATTTTGAAGCAATGGTTAGGGTCTGATGATACCTTTCAAATATATCTGTTTCTATCCCTTGTATGTACATGTAAAAAAAGTATTTATACATTTCACATCTTCTTTACTATTTCAAAATGACTTAAAATTACAGAGACAAAAAATTATGATATCAGCAATTCAAAGGCAAAGGGGATTTTCAAATGGGATTTTATAGGATATGAAGTCCTCTGCAATCTTGTACAAATGCCTGGGTATATCCCTCTATTTTCTTGTGTGGAAACATACATGTACTACGGAAGAATATTTCAAACACAATTTATCGGGGGAAAAATTTTGAATGCATATTATGTATTGAGAAATGTTTCATCTAACTTCACACTGCAGCCAAAATTGAACATCTCAAATATGTGGAAAGTTGAAAATTTGCTTCAAAATTTGAAATAACAAATTTTAGACTCAGATTCACATCAACAAACAGAACAATGGACACGTCCCTTGTATTCATATACTGGTGCATGACATACAAACGATAAATGAAGTGTGCATGGACTTAATTTTATTCAAAGAGACTTGTAAATAAACAAAAACCCACCAGCCTTTTCAGCAGACAGAACTGACCTTGGAGCTCCCACACTTTGAGGGCTGCTAATTCTGATGACGAGGCAACCAAATGATTTCTCAGCTTCTTCAAATCAGCTTTCTGCTCGGGGTACAGCTCTCTGTTAAATATATACAGGAACTGGGTGTGTAATTACAAGATACATGTTACCACGAGACTTGCCATCAGCATACATTCATAAAATTTATAGATTCCAAGACTTAAGAAGGAAGGGGAAGGGGACTTATACTTGTATATGAATATCTAAATGTATGTGAAAGCATGCATACTTGCTTTTGATTTCAAACTTTTAAATTACAATTTCTATTTGTTTTTACAATTTGGTCCACAGGATCAGACATATAAATTCCATTCTGCTCACTTGAGTTTGGCAAAGTCAAATCCCTGAACTACATCATCTAGCTGGTCCTCTTCCTCTGTGCTTGTTCCCTCCCCTACAATATGTCAGATAAACTTTTAAATAAAGGTTGCTCTTATTTACCCATTATAATTACGCTTGCAAAGTCTTACCGACCAAACATTTTACCTGCTAATACCTTGAAATGTCATACATTTTATGTAGTAAAGTTTAATACTTTCACTAAAACTAATTACATGTACATGTAATTGATATATTCATATTTTTCAATTCCTTTTGGCTTTTTGCCAAACAATTCAAGAATCACACAAGGTAGTTTTGATTAGTGTCTAGAAAGCTTTATCAATATTTTTATTCAATCTTGAAGATTAGCAATAGAGCCCTAAAACCAAGCAATATCAGGAAAGTGTGCAGAATCTTGGTGAATATTACGGCAGAAAATCTGAAGCTGTAAATACAGGAGGTGGAGAAAGTAGAAGAATCAAAGTCTTGGTATAACTTAATCCCTGCCCATAATCTACTAGACTGTTGTTGAAAAATAGTCGTCTCTGAATACTCTTTATTTGTAACTAGTGACAAATCATCTAAAGTAAGAGTTTTAACTGGTGATAAAAGTTCAAAGCAAAAAAGCACATACAGTGTACTTATGTGATATTCTGTTAGGCTGATGAGTTTAGAATTGTCAATTAGTGTCAACTTGGTTCCATTTTCCTTTTGGATACTATAGGTAATTCTATATTTTTGCTTAGTATAAAAGTGATTCTAACTACTTTATATACATACTACCTACCTGGCATCTGAACATTTATAACCTGAATGCTTACCTTTTACTAAAGTGAAAGATAGAAATCAAGTTACACTTTAGAATGATGTAACAGACATCTTATGAAGACAACACTGTTCTAGACAGGATTCATGTAAACATTTCATAAAAATAGCAGACTCAAATGTTTAGACTTAGAAAGTTTTCTTCTCACATGCACATTTCAACTCTTTGCAAGAATTGCAAGATATTTGATTATAAGTGCAATGATATTTGATCATATACATTTTTCTAAAATAAATGAGTACTCAACAACTCTCATGAAAAAAAATCAAAAAAATTTAAGTAGAAACCATGTCAGTTTTAAAAATGAATTGCTTCAAACAAATTAAAATGAAAGATGTAAACTCAAATTGCAGAAAAGGTTCTTGATACATGTACATCCCCCTATCAAACCTTGAATTCAGCTCTTCCTTCATGTTTACCTTCTATTTTGGTGTCGTCCTTTGCTTTGTACTCTGTGCTTTTAATTGCTAACTCTACACCATAACCAGACAGACGTGTCTTCTCCTCAGAAGGGTTCTATCAAACAAGTAACAGCAATTATTGTAAACGACTAGTCACACTTTTGATTTTTTTTTTAATCATTGAAAGTATTATTTTTAGCTTAAACAATCAATAACAATAACATTGATTTACTTCATCCTGCAAAATAAATATGAAAATTTTCTTTTTGTACACACTCTGTAATTATTCATAAATAGAATGCAAATTTGGCAATTGAAATTTTATTGGCTTCCTACAAAACCGCTAAAATAAGCCAAAGTTAGCACCCCACTAAAAATATCCACTATACGGTAACTAAAACTTTGAAAAAACATTTGCTTTACATATCTTCATGTATAAAAATTGCTATAGAATCCAAGAAGAAAATGAAACTGAATACCTTCACAAAATGTCTTAATACATAGGAAACTTCATTTTTCTTGGACAGAGATTTGAGTTTTTGATGAATCTCTGTAAACCCTGGCATCCCAAGTTCACCATACAGAACAGCCACCACATTCTTATTTCCTGTCCCAGGGTATACGTGATCAAACTTGTATATGGAGGATTTGGGTCTACAAGGAAAAGCACTTCATAAAGCTTTTATTGCCAAGATATTTATACTTTTTAATGCATTCATAATACACTCAAAATATCAGAAAAAGAATGGTACATTTTTCCTAGCATTTACACATCTGTTTATCATAAATTCAGGCTTATACAATCATATAAAACAAACTAAGTCTAGCCATCGACAATAAAATTTTGACTTTCAAACTTCTGTTTACCCTAATGTAAGGTACATGTATCATGGTTCAAATGTCTTGATAACTTGAAGTTTTCATAGAAAGAAACACAGAAAGAATAAGTATCCCCTACTTCCTCTCTTTTTCTCATATTACTGTATACAAAACATTCAGAGATAGAACTTCTATTTATTTTACTTGTTTGCAGCTGTTTTGATGACATCATCAATGTTGCTGACATCACATATCTTCTCTCCGTTGATGCTAACAAACATATCACAGTCCTCTGGAGCCGGCTCCTCCTTAGACATCTACAGACAGACATACAAAGCTTAACAAATCATTAAATGGATGACAGATACTTCTACAATCTGCATTGATTACTAATTGGAAGTTTCCATTCGATGGACATTGCGTTCTGGTTCTAATTTTTAATATTGTTGAAAGTTTAAAAACGAGTCAAAATCATGGGTTTTCTTTTCATATGAAAGATATTCACATCCTAAAGTGAAGAACTTAGCAAAGTTTGACAAACTTGACTGATCTATATAAAATCAAGAAAGATTTAAACTACACACACACCATTGCCAAAGAAACTAAGATTGTATATCAATTTATTCAATCACTTTATGACTATGCATTTTTAAGTGATCCATAATGACAATTATCTTTTACTTTTAAACTTGATGCTGCATGAAGCTTTCTGCTCCTTGAAAGAAGACATGACCTTAACCTTCAACAAATTCTCTACAACTGTAAACAGACAACAGTACAAAAAGGCCCTCCCCTCTTCTTTTCCCATTGATTTTTCCCCCCTCCCCAATAAATGAAAAAAAAATCCAGTGACTACTAGTAGTTCTATCACAACCAAACTGTGCTGATAAAAAAAAGGCATCAGAAATGTAATTTTTACTTTTGGATAAAAGTTTGTTAAAGATTTTTATTTGACTTACCTGTTGAAAGTTTTCTATAGCTGGAGAGAAACTTCGTAACGACAAAGAAAACTTCATCAATCTGATGTGTAAGGGAGATAACACTTTGCCAGCATATTTTTGAATTAAGTGGTAGTTTGATTCTGCAGTATCTAGAAAAAATTGAAATATCCAAAATACATGATTAGTATATTTATTCTAATAAGCATCCTTGCTCTTTTAAGAGCTAATATAAATAAAATTTTAAATAGATCATTCCTCAGAACTTAACAATTATGTATAAATACATTGAGTTTTGAAGTTTTACGGTAAAACTTTGTTTTATATTTATGCTTATGTAGTATGTTTTTTAGCTCACCTGAGCTGAAAGCTCAAGTGAGCTTTTCTGATCACGTTTTGTCCGTCTGTCTGTATGTCTAGCTGTCCATCTGTCTTTAAACTTTTCACATTTTCATCTTCTTCTCAAGAACTACTGGGCCAATTTAAACCAAACTTGCCACAAAGCATCCTTAGGTGAAGGGGATTCAAGTTTGTTCAAATGAACAGCCACGCCCTCTTCCAAGAGGAGACAATTATGAATTAGTGAAAAATTAATGGCATTTTAAAAAAACCTTCTTCTCAAGAACCACTAGACCAGGAAAGATGAAACTCATGTGGAATCATCCTCAGGTAGTGTAGATTCAAGTTTGTTCAAATCATGACCCCCAGGGGTAGGGTGGGACCAAAATGGCCGACCAAAGTTTTACATAGAAATATATAGGAAAATTCTGTAAACATCTTCTCAAGAATAACAAAGCCATGATTGATCATATTTATATGGAACCATCCTCAGGTAGTGTAGATTCAAATTTGTTCAAATCATGACCCCGAGGGTTGGGCGGGGCCACAATGGCCCACAAAAGTTTTACATAGAAATATATAGGAAAATTCTGTAAAAATCTTCTTCTCAAGAATAACAAAGCCATGATTGATCACATTTATATGGAAGCATTCTCAGTTAGTGTAGATTCAAATTTGTTCAAATCATGACCCCCAGGGTTTGGGTGCCAGGCCACACTGGTTGACTTAAGTTTAACATAGAATATATAGTAAAATTCTTTAAAAATCTTCTCAAGAATAGCAAAGCCATGATTGGTCATACATGTATTTATATGGAAGCATTCTCAGGTAGTGTAGATTCAAGTTTGTGCAAATCATACCCTCTCCCCTTTAAGGAATGGTTGGGACTACATTTGGGTTTAAACTTTTCAATAATAAACTAATTTCTGCTAGCCAGAGTGCTCAGGTGAGCGATATGGCCCATGGGCCTCTTGTTTTTAAGGGGGCCCTCTACAACGTCACAACATGGCGTACTTCCGTAAAAACGCCATTTTGATCCCAAATGATCAGGTTCAAATTCACTTAACACCGATAAATCACTGAGTATAACACAACATGCGATATTGTGGATGGAATGTACATTATATCACATCAATTAATACAGTGTATTGCCCAATACGTATCCTTTCTTTAAAAATGAATTGCTTGTCAATTTATTCAATTTTTACTTATTTAATTATTAAATAATACATTTACAAACTTATTAGAATAAGATTTTAGGTGAGAAAAAAAATGATATAAAACATGGCCTGTCCATATGCTAATTCATAAATGCCAAATAGGATTTCAACCCAAGGCTAGAACATCTGATCATATGTTTGTACTGAAAACTCTAATTCAAAAATATAACTCCTCTAACTCAAAATTGTACACCTGTTTTATTAACTTTTCGAAAGCTTTTGATACAGTACTTCACTCGGCCTTATTATATAGACTATCTCAGATTGATATTAGAGGTCCTTTTTACTATGTCATTAAGAGCATGTACACCTCAAATAATTTACATATTCGAATTGGTAATAAACTTACTAAAAGCTTCATCCCTGAATTAGGGGTAAGGCAGGGGGATAATTTGAGTCCAAACTTGTTTAAAATCCTTATTAATGAACTACCAGATATGTTTAACAGTGAAGATGATCAAGTATATTTGAATAATGAACCTCTTAGTTGTCTTCTCTATGCTGATGATCTTGTTTTATTATCATCTTTTCCAAAAAGCCTACAGAATTGTTTGAACAAGCTGGCCACTTTTTGTGATAAATATTGTCTTACTGTAAATTTGAAAAAAACAAAAGTTGTAATCTTTTACAAAAATGCATGACTCACAAATTTACATTTTATATATAAAGGTCATGAAATTGAGTGTACGTACATTGTCATATAAGTATCTAGGGGTTTTATTCAATGCATCTGGTTCATTTCCTTCAAATTTTTTCGTCTTTTTGTACACACTCTGTAATTATTCATAAATAGAATGCAAATTCAATTGAAATTTTATTGGCTACAAAACCGCTAAAATAAGCCAAAGTCAATGTCAGTATGATTTATATAAGCGTGGTTTGAAAGCTTTCTTTAAATTGGTAAAATGTTTTGGTAATACCAAACCAAATGCAAATATCTTGTTACATCTTTTTGATCATACTGTAAAACCTGTTGTTTTATATGGAAGTGAGATTTGGGGTACTATAAACACAGAATCTGCAGTTGTTAAAAGGACAAATTATGAAATAGAAAATTCCTTTAAAAAGTTATTTAGTGATAAACTACATATCAAAGCTCTAAAATATATTTGTGGGGTTCACAAGAAAGCTTCTAACCACGCTGTTATGGGTGAATTAGGCAGACATCCATTGTATATTGAAATCTTGTATAATTGTATCAAATATTTGCAACATATTTATAAATCAGATAGTACTTTACTAGCAAGTGCACTACAAGAAAATATAATATTGAATAATGATAGAAAGAGCTGTTGGTTGAGTAGTATTCATTTTATGCTGGAACAATTAGGAATATCCTGTGACAACATCTTGGCTGAAAACCTTCCATCAATAGTTTATAATGAACTAAATAGAAGATTTACTAATATATGGCAAAATAATTTATCAGAGTGTGTTAGAAATGAAAAAGGCAAACTTCGAACATATGGATTATACAAAACAAGACTTAAATAAAAGAAAAATATTTTTCTATGATATCAAAACCATAAGCTTGAAATTGAAACTGGCAGATACAGAAATGTGCCTGCCACGGATCGAAAGTGTAAACTTTGTGCTTCAGACTCTGTAGAAGATGAAATCCATTTTATATTTGAATGTTCAACTTATAAACTATATAGGCAAGTATTCATTAATTATATAAGTGAAGAAAATAAAAATTTCTCCTCACTTTCAAATAGAAATAAATTTATATGGCTAATGTCAAAAGAAAGTAGTGATATAATAAATAGTTTTGCAGAATATATATTTAAATGTGACAATAAAAGATCCAATGTTGTCTCAGGATGTTCCTGAAAGTCAAGAATGATATAACATGCAGACAAGGTAGATATCCAGTAAAATTTATGCATGATGTGGCATAATGTTTGCGTTTGTGTACTTTTATCATATATTAATATAATATTCATTGTTGCATATGAATTCAACTGTCATTTGGATCTCTTCCTCTCTTTAGCTTTATTTTTTTTTATTTATGTTGTATTTTTCTTGAATGCCCTTCATGGGCCCAAAATTGGAAATAAATGATATTCTATTCTATTCTATTCTATTCTATTCATTAGGTCTACGTGTCAAAACGCTATACACTCAGAAATTTATTTCTTCAATAAGTATATATGCTTTCCAGCAAAATATATCCCCCCAAAAATGAAAATTTGATCAGATAAGACATATGTATTATCTTCCCATCACTATGTTCTCGATTGGTATACACGCGAATGAATGGTTATACCCGGTGAAAATTCGCATGATCCAAACGTTTGATCAACATTGATTGTCAGCTGTTTACAAGTATGGGAAACGCAGGTTTTAGACAAAGTGTGCATTTTGTTATAGGAATTTCTTTTACCGCTTTTGGCCATTTACCATCTTACTTGCTTTGTTATACATAGCACTGGATCACACATGCAAGTTGGATGAAAACGGTAAGTAAATCTACCTTTCTCAATACCATGAATTCACTAAATATATCTACATGTCTTTGTCATTGACTGGAAATGCGATGATTTTCGCTTAAACTCATTGAAAAACAATTCATGTACAATACGAACTTCTTTCAATGTCCTTGTGTGACATTTGTTTAATACTTGTGCAAGTAGAGTTTATTTGAAGTTAATATATAAAAAAAAAACAGTACCAAGGTATTTGAGTCCACTCTTAAAGCGGATCTCTCACACCTGAATTTTTGTGATGTTTATAAAGATTTGACAGTTTTTCAATTTTTTTCAATTTCTTTTTTTCATTGTTTTCACCCTTTGATATTATATATCTTTTCAGATATTGGAGAAGATCCCACCAGCTATTCTCAAGAAAATGCTGTTTTAGTTTTTCTTTTGTCTATTTTTGAAAATTTAAATAAAAATTATGTTGATTTTATTTTTAACTTTGTTGGTTATTATTTCAATATTTTATAACATTATACTTTGAAGAGAAATTAAAAACACTGGGCTTTTAAAAATATAGATAGGAGGGGTTTTAACAAAATTAATAGAATATTTCAAATATTTCTAAAAAATAAATTGAAATACTTTGGAACCTTATTTTATCGGATATGGGGCCTATTACTAGAAACAAATGCATGCAACAAAAATCAGTTATACTTTATAGGTGTAGAGAGCCCCCTTAATGTAAATATTCAAATTATAATTCCTTAAAGAATAATTTATCTCCCTCCCCCCTCCAAAAAAAAAATAATCATTCCATTTTTGTAGGTGCCCTGACTGCTTATAGAATATGTTGGGTTTTCTTACCTGACTGCACCTGTTCTGGTGTTAATGCAGAAATACTATCCACAAACTCCCAGAATTTCTCATTGCTTTCTCCAGCAATATATTCACTGCAACATAATTTTTACTTGTCATTTAAATTTTCAACAACATTAACATTTCAACTGTAACTTTTCTTACTCAATACTGGCTATATTTGTAAGTTTTCAGAATATTACTGTAAAATCATTTAAATTTGTGGGGCCAATTTTCATGGACTGCCTTAATTTAACATATTGGAGGGACATGATTATGTGTTTTCATTCATATCCACAAAAGGAAAGATGACTCTCATAACCCCATTCAACTAATTCTTTGAGCATATGAGCAAAACAAAATCTAATGACTCTACAGTATTTGTCTTTCTTTAAATAATTATTTTTCCTGACCTGGCCTCAAGCAACAGAGGAGTTGATGACCACTTGGCATCCAGTGAAACTGTTACTGGTTTCTGCTTGGCAAAAACCAATGTTATAAGAGTCCAAAGATAAAGCCACCACATCTGAAATTAAAAAGAAAAGAGATTTATCATGTGTTTTTTGTTAAATAGCAGTGAGCTCTACTGATAAGTATTTCAGAATAACTGAGGAATTTCAAAATAAAACTGAAATCAGTTACAGTAATCAGTTTGTTAACTGATTAAGCGAATTTTGTGTGAAAGCTTCCAATAATTCCTTGAAGAGTCCCTTGTGAGGACAACTATGGTGACCAAGATTTAGATTTTGCAAAGAGCTATAATCATTCTAATTAAGAGAACAAAACATAATTGCATCTACCCCGATACTCATTTAAATATAATATGCCCTTTCTTATGCCCTGTTCACACAGAAAATTTAATTCACAGTAAAGAAAACTAATGCGAATTAAAATAATGGGAATTAATTTGCGTTCACACGACAGCTAAAGCAAAGTAATCTAATGCGAATTAAAATTACATTTCTACAATACGGCTAGGTCAGTAAGGCTATTATGACGTCATTTGTAAATCACCTCACGTATGCAGAGTAAAACCATCTGATATAACATATTTTTAGTAACTGTATGATATTTAAGGAATGAATTTAATAGCTACCCATTTTATATGGTATAAACTGGGTTGGGGCAGTTTACACTTTATAAACCGCGAAGCGGTTTCCAAAAAAGCGTAAACTGTTCCAACCCAGTTTATACCATATAAAATGGGTAGCTATTAAATTCATTGTTTATATGTTTTACAGCAATTAGACTAACTACATCCCCTTTTCATTTTAAGAATGGAATTGTGATAGATATTATTTATTTCCTTCAAAAATATGGATTTGACAAAGTAACAAAAAAGACCTTGCCATACACCATACTGGTGTAGCATGGGCTTGTGTTTGTACAATAATTAATAGTCTCATGATGTTTAATTTGTTTATACATTGTGTCACACTCATTATATTAGGTAAAGGTCTAATTTTGACCAGGAGTGAACCCCTATCATACCCAAGAACAAAAACACTGAATGAAAGTTCGAATTCAATCGCTATGGAAAAAAATCTTATTTTAAAAAATCTTTTTTTTTTTTATAACTCAAAGTAATTGAAATGTATTTAATTACATTTGTCAAAGTAATTGATAGTAATTAATTACATTTGAAAAAATCAATGTAATTGTAATTGCAAGTAATTGACAAAATTATCAATGTATTTGAAAGTAATTAATTACATTTCAAAGTAATTGACCCCAAGCCTGGTTTATAATTTAATTTTCATTTATTTGTTGTAAGAAAAAAAGATGATTGTTCTACCAAAATGACTTCAATTTGTACAAAATTTGAATGTAACGTCAGGCGGATTGATACGCTGTTGACGCAAGTCATTGTGACGTAGGCAACCCATTTTATATGATATAAAGTAAATTTTTTATCCAATCAAATACAGCGTTATAACCAGAATTAAATTATTAGCGATAAACCTACGTTTCCTTTATTTTTCGACCAAAATAGCACAGATACTTATATCTAACCACCGATATGTGGCCTGTGACTAAATTCTCGTCATGCGTCAAAATTTAATTCAAATCAGCTTCACTTAGCGTTCACACGGAGGTAAATGCAAAGTAATTAATGCATAGTAAATTAATTTGAATTATTCTAATTCGCATAAAATTCTCCGTGTGAATGCTAAGCAAAGCTAATTTGCAGTAACTTTACATTTAATCCGTATTAAACTCTCTGTGTGAATAGGGCATAAAAGTTTTCGTGAAGAATGTGCAGTTTGAAGAGAACAATCTAAATTAAATGTGAATAGGTATCTGTGTTTGTCCTAACATTTGTGCCATCAACATATTAAATACAAGTGTGCCTATTCTAACAGTCACATTGTTATCTATATTAAATCTAGAGTTGATAAAGCCAGTTTAATAAAGGTTAAGTCAATTCAAACTCAAAGACTCGAGTTTATTTTCAACATTGAAGCAAGATCTCTACAATAATGATAATGACAAGATTTGTTTTGTCAACAAAGACCCTTGTTTAAATGAAATTCAGTCACATTCTCCAGAAACTGCACCATTAACGGCATTCATTGTCTTTTTTAAAAGAAATTCATAAATGTTGTTTATGTTAAATCTGTCAGCTGATATCACCGGCATCTTGACCAAAATTTACCCAACAAATAGGCTGGTATTTCGTAAATGTAAAGAAATATGGAAAGTTAAGTAGAACCAAAATCGCAAAAAGAAAACCTTATTAACCAATATAGATTCTTTCCTGGAACAAGAAGTTTTAAAGGAAAGAAATTCCCAGTTTAATTTCATTTTTGTTGCTTACGTTTATGGAGGCCGCCATGTTGTAATTCCGCTTATGATGTGGGAGGATTTCATTGGCTAAAATAATTTTTCTATTTTACGAACAAAAGTATAGATAGAACTAAATGATGGTACATCTAAATATTTTATCAAAATTTCAATTCATCTCAGCACTATAAGAACATTGACTGCATTTAAACTAAAACAATATTAAGACTCGCAGACAAAATCTGAATGGCGGGAAAATTCAAACTATATAGGAAAGACACTATACAGTACGTGTAAAAGTAAGTATTCTAACTTTCAGGAAAAAAATTAATAAACCGCATTTTGAAAAGTCTATCGCCAATTAGGCTTTTTCCGCTTTGCCACCGAGGTTACCCCCGCAGGTTGAACAGCAATGATCAATACCGTAAATGGACAGTTTTGATATCTATAGAGATTCTTTTAACACTACTTGTAAATTCGCCCTCTTTCTCTCGTTTAATAAAATGGATGTTAAATATTCATTAAACTTCACGGTTATCACAAGTTAAAATAGTCACCACAGTAAAGAATGTAAGAAACTTTTTTTAAACATAATAATCCCCCGATCGCAACGGAATCAGAGGAGATATCAGTAAAGCTCTGAACTTTGTATGTGGGTGGGTGGGTTAGTTCGTCCTTGACGCGTGCGTTACGGAAATGGCGTTATTTACACCGAGGTCCGTCGTTTACTTTTGCGAGGGAAATACTTATAGCTTTGCTGTGCACTGACTATGGTACTCCGATCCTCCTGTTCTGAAAGTCAGGCATTGAATAATAATTGACTAATAATTGAAAATGCTCACAGAATGTCTCTGAATTCTCAAAGCAATGTGTTTTTACTCACGATAATTCTTAATCATAATACACAGGGAAAAAATTACTAAATCATTTGAATTTTTTTTTTTATTTATTTATTCATTTTATTTATTCATTTATTTTATTATTATTATTATTTTTTTATTTTTTTTTTTTGGAAATGCGAATAAAAACTACTTCAATGCATTATCCAATTCAAATTTGATCAACAAAAACATTTTAGAAATAAAAAATCATAGTAACGTATCGATCCAGGCTTTTGAAGAACTTGCACAGCTTTTATACATATAAGGTACTAAATAATTTCTTCTGTTTACTTCGATTATTTTACAATGTGTTTCAAGATTTTCCTACCATTGCAAAACACCATAAATCACTTCTAATTTCATATCATGTTATAAACATTGGTATCTATGGTTAGATTAAAATGAACCTCAATTTCTTTAATAAATAAACTGTAATCTTAAAATACTTTTAAGGGGGTATAAACATTTGAACTTTTTATAAGACCTTTCTGAGAACTTCGAAAGAACTTTGAAGCACATTGACAGGTATAACATGAAAATTGTTGCATGAAAAGACTTAATTTTCAATCTTCATTTTAGGACTTTTTGAATTAAATTATAAATTAAAGAGTTATCCTTCCTGACTGAGGATCGGTGTACCTTAATCAAGTCTCCCCTTCAAAGAGGAGACATATTGTTTTGTTACATAATTTTTATTAATGAAATATACAGAGACAACGAAAACTAAAAAAAAATGCAGTTCTTTAAAAAAAATTAATTCTGATATATCCCAAAAGATTCACGTGAACAAAAAAAAAAAAAAAAAAACAACAACAAAAACGAGGACTCCAGTGCACAATGTTAAATTTGCCTTAAGAGCTTTATTTCATTCTGACCCTCTTTTTTTTTCTTGTTTGATATGGACCTCAACTGAATCGAAACTAATCAAGGGGGACCGAGGAATCGACTGGGCTCGACGAAGAGCCTTGATCAGTAACGTAATCAAGGATAATGAAATCTGAGATAATGGCTTTCTTTTGTGATGGGTAACCTTAAGATTTACAGAAGTCATGGAAAATGGAGTGTGTGTCACTCCCCGGGTCAGACAGTAGATCTGTAATGCATTACTGGGACTGGAACGCGCTTTTTCTTTTCACATATCGATCCACGATCGGCTTCCAAGAAGCAAAGGCTTGAGTCGCGGCAATGTGCAGATATTAATTATGATGTTTATTCACTTTTCACGAAATGCAATTCCAAAAATGCCTCTCGGAAAGCCGGGCACATTTCTACCACTTTATCAAATGTGTGGAAATTGTGATTCACATCCTAATGTTGCAAATCGATCGGTCAGATTGAGCATTAATGAGCTAGAAATGAAATAACACGATACATCGAGTTAAAAACAGACTGTTTTTGAAAATTACGTTGTTTCTGTGTGTTAAGTGCTTTTTATTTTGGCAGTGTCGATTCCTGCATTCCCTTGGGAATATGGAAAGATGCATTTTTATCCATTGCAGAGTATGTGAGCGGTCGATCGCTTGCAAAGAGCTGAGAAAAAATCAGGAGTGAAGACGGCATTTAAGCGCTTGACTCATCTGTCGCACCTTTCCTTGATCTTCTGGCATTTGGGGGAGAGAATGGTGTTTTCTTGACATTTATTAAATGTCATACGAAAGTTAAGCTAATACTCTAGAGTGAGCACCGCCTAAGAATTTCAAGAAAGGCACCGGATTCGGCTGCCGTGATTTCAGCACCGGAGACGCCCCCGAGTGGAAGAGGAGATATTGGCGTTTTTTCCTATTCTTTGCTATTGAATAAACAATTTTGGAGTGACGCAGTCCTGTGTTCTTTCACATTGAAGACCTGTCATTCCAGTGCTTGGGTGTCAGGAGTAAGTGAAGCCCTGGATTCTCGTCGGTTTTATGAAGAAGTCTATTGATCCTGGAATTGGCTGATTTCAGAGGCGTTAGATCCGCGTAATTATTCCATTATTTTCAGAGCAAACCGTCACTGGTCGAGGAACTTTTACCAAACAACCACAAAATTAAGAATAATTTTGCAGTATGGAGAAAGTTCTATATCGCGGTTTCTATTGATCCCGTCAAAATTAAGTTAAACGCTTTGTGAAGGAACGTATAGGGCGAGCAGATGCCTATGGTCTTTAGTCACGGAGATTTCTTGGAAAAGATTCTTTAAATGTGCAAAATGTGATATAATTCTTATAACGGGGGATATAAGTACAATACCTATACCAACTATGTCTTCGTTGTCGCCTTTCGCTAACACAGGACTTGGGTATGGTATGGGAATCTACCGACCCAGGAGGCCAAGCTACACGTACGCAACACAAGCCCCTCGACAGAGAACGGAGAGTTACAGGTATGCCGTTCGTAAGAGTACAGGGGACCCTGAAAATACTGACTTCATTGAGGGAATGACAAATTCTAGTAAACGGGGTCGTAAGGAAAGTTATTTTCAAGCCGTTAAACGAGATGATCGCAACGTGGAAATGGCTCAAGTGGAAGTTAGAATAGACCCGCCAAAACCAGAGGAGGAGCAGACGATTATAAATAATCGACACTCTTTGAACAAACTTCCCGATGAACACATTAATGAATTAAAAAGAGCAATTTTGAGACGAACAAAAAGTTTAGAACGAGAGAACCGAGTGCCAGATACTTATATGGCTCCCAGGAGTGTCTCTAACGATCAGCTGAACTTGCCAGCGGAAAATCACTGCTTCAACAAACCTGATACAACGGGGACTCCAAACTCAGAACTTAGTAGCAATGTTCCTTCCGTTATTCTGTTCACCTTTAAGAAGAACCTTGTTTTTCTGTGCATTAGCTTCATTCTATTGTTTTCAGTGTTTAGAGCCATTCAGAACCTCCAGACGTCCATTAACGACGAGAGATATCTAGGAGTTACCGCCATGTCTTGTGTACATGGTGCAATGTTTGTAACCTGTTTGTGGGCTCCAGTTTTTATAAACCTCATGTCTGCCAAATGGGCAATAACTTGTGGAATGTTCAGTTTCCTTGCTTGGACCGGTGCCAATTTTTACCCTAGTTTTTATACCCTAGTCCCCACTGGTCTTTTCTCGGGATGGGGACAAGGGATCCTATGGACTGCTGAGGCGTCGTACATCTTAAAGTTAGCCTTTGATTCTTCAAGAATCACGAAGAAGGGCATAGACAAAGAAGTGTTCAGATTTAACGGATTTTTTCTTGCCGGGTTTCAGACGACTCACATTTGGGGAAATTTAATTTCATCCATTATTATTTCTTCCACCACAGCAGACGATACTGGGAATGATGACGTAAGTGGTGAACTTCATCCTAACTTCACAGCAAGTATCCAGGTCCCAAGTAGCATCAATAAATGTGGGGGGCTGTACCCCTGCAGTCCGGTACCCGGGGGTGTCATGGAGGTCTCAGGTTTGTGTCAAGAAGGCAATGAATATTTTAGTATACTAATTTACTAAATGCATTGTATTTACATGTACCGTGCAAAAAATATGAATGGGTGGATCTTAGTACTTCATGGGTCACTCAGTGTACATGTACATGTAATGGCAGATTAGTGAAGGGGGGGGGGGGGTAAATTGTTTCCACATTTCTTTCTTTTAAAACTCAACATACGCCGAAATATGGCTGAAATATTGCCGACTCGGTGCTAAAAAATATAAATCGATCAATCATTCATTTTGGACTTTTTGGTTACAGAAGACATACCGGTACATGGAGACATCTGCATTTTTCTAACGTACTGTATATGGGTATATGGGTGAAATGACAGTGATACTGCTTTTTTCTTTAAAAGAGGTGCTTAATTGTGTTTTGACAAACGTAAAAACGCAAATCATAGCTCTAATTATATAACACATGTATACTTGCTCCCTACAAGTCGAACATATCTAGAGCTATCTGTTAAAAAAAGTTCAATCACGTGAAAGAACCGTGCATATAGAAATGTTGCAAGTACAGTGTAGTGGAAGAGAGATACGAGTTCGAAATTCGTTAAATTATAAATCCCAATGCAAGATTTAACTGAAATCAATTCCTTGATGTCAAGCACAGGGCTTCCCAGTTTTCATTGCTTCTTAAATAGCCTTCCTTCAATACGGAGAATAAACTTAAAATTTTGCAGATTATTACTAAACAGCAATTAAGTTAATGAATAATTTGCTAAATTCGATTTGATATCTCATAATCTGTAAATAACATCCCATAATTACACTATGATATGAAATAAAATCTGCTAAATAAATGCATATTAAATCCCTTTGATGCAAATAAAATTGTGTAATGTACAATTAAACTGCAATGTGCCATCAAAGACTGTTATAAAACTGCATGTTATTTGATAGACAATCCCCAAATTCAAATTAATTAGGTTTTTTGAAAAATCATTTCTTGCTTTAATCCTTCCTGCTTTTAAGATTATAATTATTATGATATCTAACCCTTCAATTCTGCGGAATATACTACATTAAGAAAGATTCATTGATAAAACCATAATTTGGTTGAAGATAATTTTGAAATCCAGTATACTGGAATGGAAATAATATTTTGCAAACGAAATTAAATCCTAAACTAGACCACTGTCTTTTGAGACATTTGGCATTCATTCATTCATTTATTCTCTCAAAAACCATATGTATGGTACAAGAGGTACATATATACATTTTTACAATAATTATGGACGAGCAGAAATTTCAGGAGGACAGACAGTGTCAAAAATTTGTGTGATAAATATACATTGTACATACTTTTCGTAAGAATGCTGGATCATTACTTGTCATCAAATTACAGAATTGTATAATATTTGGATGTACATAGTATTTCTGCAACAAAAAATCTTTTCGAATACTACCTAATACATTAGATTCCAGTAAAGTAATGAAATTCATCTCCTATTTTATTATTATTACATTAATTGCACACTCTTTCATTTCTTTCAACATTATTCCATTTACCCACCTCTATATTGGAAGATAATTTTTACTTGTTCTGAATTTTGAAAAGATCTTTCTAAATTTTCTTGGTAAAATAGCTAAGTATTTTTCACATTCAAACTTTGTTTTAAAAATTCTATATGTAATACCTTTTCTGGAATGGACAGAGTAAGTATAGTGTTTTGGAATGGGAGAGAGAGAGAGGAACGCAATATATGGTTTAGGTAGATATCAAAGAATACTACAATTACAATGTAATTGACAACAACAGAAAAAAATACATATTCGATCGGCGTATCTTCACATTCTTGATAAAAGAAAAGACTACAAAAGGAAGATATATATAGATCTACATCAATTATTGAAAACCGTATTCTCTATGTTACGTAACATTTTGATGCTTTGATATCCATTCTTTTCCATTTTTTCTCAAAATAACATTAAGTGGGATATAGACCACAAGGCTGACCCGAGTAACATTAGTACAATTCTCTGTTATCCTTGGACTTTCAGTAAGGCATGGCATTCTCAACGTTACATAATTAGCGTCTGGAATTTACGCAGCCTTTTATTCACTGTTGAAATTTACATGGGATAGAAATTCGGGCGAATGTCAACGAGTGTAGCAATGATCCAATTACAGCGTTCGGTATGGCAAAGGGGTGGGTCTTAAGTCGTCTCATCGTTGTCAACAGCAATTTTAAGTTGTTGATGTTAATAATTTCTTAACCAATCAGAATCTTATTCTATGTCGCCATTTGAGACGTATCGCCGAGAATGCCACGCCTTACTGCAAGTCCAACTCCAGAACTGTGTTACCATCGGGGGCATAGTGTTTCACAAAAACATCTTGTTTTTACTTGTATTTTTAAAACTATTTGAACTTTCTCAAAATATTATTTCTATACAGGATTTTAATGAGTAGGTCTTATGCATTGTCAGATTGAAGAGAAAGAAACGTTGAAGGTTGACAGATCACCCACTTCTTTCTTTCTTTCTCTGTTGAAAAGGTCAACCTGTCTTAATGCCGGGCATAGCATCCAGAGTATTGAAAACTAATAAAAGAAATATAATTAACATTATTAAGACAAATAAGCCTCATAAAGTACCATGCAATGCATTAATCGGAAGTCAAAAAGAAGTTCAGATATTCGAAAGACGAAATGCATGGAAGATGAACATTTCACGTCCCTTCCTAGCTTAATTACTAGTAACAGAATCGGCCGCTGTGCAAACTCTATCACAGGCACGTGAAGTGTGGAGACACCACACCACCACACCCGTGAGGCACCCACACCCCGTTTACCAAAAAAGGAGAGACTTTAAA